AGTCAACGCGGACCTGCGCGTGGGCCACGGCGCGCAACGTGGCCACGCGGGATTCACAGATTCCAAAAATGTCCCCCAGGGATTCACAGATTTTCCACAAATTTTTCACAGATTCTGCAACCCAGGATTCACAGATTTTTCACAGATTTTTCACAGATTTTTCACAGATGCTGGAGGTCATGATTTCGGGATTCACAGATTTTCCACAGATTTTTCACAGATTCTGCAACCCAGGATTCACAGATTTTTCACAAAAATAATTCTTTCAACCCATGCCAGAGGTTGCCAGGATTCAGGGTTATAAGGCTAGTCTTTTTGCCGATAGTGACCTGATGCACGGAATCCAAAAGAGCAAACGAAGCTGCAAGGTGCTACGATTGTAGAAACCCGAGCCCCAAGCTCGGAGCCCTTCCTTCAAAGGGGTGTGACATGAAAAGACGACAGAGCCGATGTCAGTAACCCCAAAAGCAACCCTCAAAGGGCCCCTGCCATGCTGTTAAACTCATGTAGGCACCCTTCAGCCCTCCGCCCCGCCCGGGGGCCCTCGCGGAGTCTCGGAAGCATGGAAAGGGTCTGCTGCCAATGCCTCAGAGACTGGCTTGTCGGCTTTGTGATGTTTCGTGCGTGAAGGGGTTCAGTCTGGGGTGTGGCGTGTGGAGGATTTGGCCTTGAAGGTTTGGGTTTAAAGGGAGTTTCAAGGCATTTGGCAGCTCCATCCATATATGCCATGGGATTGGAAGAACAGGTCCAGGCCGAGTCTACGTTCAGTGCTTAGGCTTCCAAGGTAGCTTCACAACTTCGCGCCGAGGCACAGTGCCACGCCTAAAGCCGCCAGCACGGCGTTCCTGGTCGGTCACAGGTGAGGCTTCGTTTCTTTAGCATAGTCTTTGCTCACTCGCCTGCAGGGAAATCTATGAGTCTATCGGACCCACTCACTCGTGGTGCTGCACTCTCCATGACCACAGGATTTGTGGCTGACCATGCATTACACCACCATCTGCTGCCATGCTACGAAAATCGCCTTTAAAGCCGAGACCCTCCATGAAAGCTCCCTCTGCTCTTTCTCCACCAAAAAGCCCTGAAGCTCCCTGAAGCATTCCATGCCAAAGCTCTGCGCCACGGCATCCGGGCGCAGGCAGCGGCTCCTTGAAACTGACAAAGAACAGGAGCTCGGGCTTGTCGGTGAGGCGCGACACAAGAGCTGAAGTACCGACAGGTGGTTCTCTAGAGTACATGCTTCAGTCCATGTTCATGTTGCAGCCTCGAATGCATCTGTTTCGCAAAAAGTTTCAGCTGGGGTGCAGCATTGCCGGCAGCATCGCAAGCGCAGCCTCACGGCTCAGGACACTTCGCGAAATGCCAAAACTCTGAGTTAGTGGCGATGCTGGGATTGACTTTGCCTGTACTGTCCGGCAACTTTATCTTGAGTGGGCTTGACCTGCATTCAGTTCGGAGAATATTCTTCCGAAATCCCCCGATAAAGGTCCCTTTGCAGCCAACCTGATGTCACTGAATCTTTTTCTATGGTTGATCCTCACAGGTGTGCTGGTAGCAACAATGCGATATGAGCAGACACCAACTGAGGAACTCAGGCATGCTGGAAGTTGGGCGTCGTTTGTCAAATCCTCCCCGAAAGTTGAAAATATCGCACGTCTCCGTTTGCCACAACCTGCTCAAGCACCGAATCGCCGTGCAAAACCTTTGTCGGTCAGAGTCATGGTGGCAGCCAGCTTTTCCATCTGACTGTTCTTGTGCAGCACGCGCAAGCGATGTTGCAAGCGCTTGATGCTGTAGCCCAGCACAGCAGGAAGGTACACAAGCATGTGGCAAATATCGCTGTCGCAATAGAAGCCCTGCAAGAGTTGATGCTTAACTGATACATTGGCCCGGATGCTGTAGCCAAAGACTGCAGGAGAAGTGGCAACGACTTTGGCCACTTGTTCTCGGCTCAGCCCAATGTCCTCAAGCCAGGCCACGGTGGGTTTCAGATTATCGTCGATACTGTAGCCCAACACTTGAGGCTGCCGAGCAACGACTTTGGCCACCTGTTTCCGGCTTAGCCCAACATCTTCAAGCCAGGCTACTGTGGGTTTCAGATTGCAGTCGATGCTGAGACCCAACACGTGGGGCTTCAGACAGACGACTTTGGACACCTGCTCTCGGCTCAGCCCAACATCCTCGAGCCAGGCCACCGTAGGCTTCAGATTGGCCTCGATGCTGAGACCCAACACTGAAGGAAAGCGAGCAACGACTTTGGCCACCTGCTCTCGGCTCAGCCCAACATCCTCGAGCCAGGCCACTGTGGGTATCAGATTGCCGGCGATGCTGTAGCCCAACACCTGAGGACAGCCAGCAACGACTTTGGCCACCTGTTGTCGGCTCAGCCCAACACCCTCGAGCCACGCCACTGTGGGCTTCAGATTGCGATCGATGCTGAGACCCAACACTTGAGGATGGCGAGCAACGACTTTGGCCACCTGCTGTCGGCTCAGCCCAACATCCTCCAGCCAGGCCACTGTGGGTTTCAGATTATCGTCGATGCTGTAGCCCAACACTTGAGGATGGCGAGCAACGACTTTGACCACCTGTTTCCGGCTTAGCCCAACATCCTCAAGCCGGGCCACGGTGGGTTTCAGATTAGCGTCGATACTGTAGCCCAACACTTGAGGATGGCGAGCAACGACTTTGGCCACCTGTTCTCGGCTCAGCCCAACATCCTCGAGCCAGGCCACCGTAGGCTTCAGATTGGCCTCGATGCTGAGACCTAACACCTGAGGAAAGCCAGCCACAACTTTGGCCACCTGTTCTCGGCTCAGGCCAACACCCTCAAGCCAGGCCACGGTGGGTTTCAGATTGGCCTCGATGCTGAGACCCAACACTCGAGGAAAGCCAGCAACGACTTTGGCCACCTGCTCTCGGCCCAGGCCAACATCTTGAAGCCACCCAGCGAAAGGTTTCAGCTTGCCCTCGATGCTGATGCCCCAGATTCGTGGATACTTGCTTGCCAAAGCCTGGATTCCGTTTTGGGAGACTTTCATCTTCTCCTCCAAGAAGGCAATCATACTGGCCTTCTTGGTCTCGACATCTCTAGTGAGCACTGCCTGACGTACAAACGTCCGTGCCTTGTCAAAACCTGGCTGTGGTTCGGCACACTGAGAGTTGAGACGTTCGCGCACGTCATGCTCAAGAGAACCATCGAGGCTAATGAGGAGGGACCCTGTGGCTTGATGCAAAGAAGTCGCGAGCGATGGCGAATGCCCTGCCCGCCATACGTCGACCATCGCTTCCATAGCTTTCGAAGCTTGCTTTCGTCTTAAACTCTGAGTCACGTGGCCTATCCGTAGGACGACCGAACCTTGCGGCGCATACGCAAGCAGCGCTTCTGTCTTGCGCTCATCACGCTGCTTCCCCGGCGCATCGCGGTGCCAATGACAGCCGTCGTACTCGACGAACAAAGCTGCATCCTTCGGCTTCAACACCCCATATGCAGTTATGTCTGGGCAGAGCCATCGCGACCCCCACGAATCGGAGGGCTCCACCGGGAAGTCCCGGAAGCTTTCACCGATGGGCTCCCCAGGCATCAGCAGCTCCGCCAAACGAGACAGAAGCTCCACCTCCGCAAAGCTTCGGTGCGTTGTCCTCGGCCGGCCCTTCCTCCACCAGAGAGGAGGCGCACTGCACAGAAGACGAGGCCCGAGAGGGGACCGCAGCCCGGCCGGCAGAACTCCGAGCAAACGGCTCCGAATCGCTGCCATGCCTTTCGGCTCCTCGGCTCCTCAACAACACGTCAAGAGCCGCATCATCCATCGCCGTCTCTTTTGAAGCTGACGCGGCCGCACGATGGCATAATGACAAAGAAGCTGTCATGCAGTTGCCCACAATCGTGCGGCCCCAGACCCCTGCACTGCGACCTGCCCTGGAAAACAATTACTAGTTGATTCTGAATGACAGCGCACCACTGCCATTGCCTCCCACTTGGCTCCGGCAGTGCAGGCGCCCAGGGCGGCGGTAAAGGCCACGAGGCCTCGGAAATTCTCGGCACACAGATTCACAAGGCCGCATTCGACACGTTCCAAAGCAACGCAGCTTCAGATGTGAAGAAGAAATCATGACCTCTCTTCGGAATCTGCTTCGCCGAGCCACCAAGCTTGGGGGCCTGCGGCGACGTGAGCACGAGAGCCACGGCTTCCTCGGCTGCGGCAGAGAGGGCGGTGGGATGTCCTTGATCTTTGCCACTCGCATCACACACGATACCATCACGAAGCGAACTCGATTCCTCATACGGAACAGATGTGGGGCTCAAGGGTGTTCACAGGGACAGAAAGTGAAAACCCCAAGCGCATCAAGACCTCTCAAATCCAGGGCCTGAAAGAACCAACACTAACCCTCACAGAGCCACCTCCCAGCTTGCTGCCCGCTTCAAGGCAAAGAGGGCTGCATGGAGATCTTTCAGTGTCCTGTGTCTTTGGCCTGCCAGGGGGAGTGTGTGTTCGGCCGGAGGCTTGGAAGAACTGTCGAACCCTTGACTCGCCATGAGCACGCCTATCCAAACTCCGGAGCATCCACAAAGGCAAGACCACGCAAGGCTCCACCCAAAACGCACAAACCGCGACCATTCAATCTGAGCCTGGGCCGGGCGGCGCCGTGGCCATTGCCGCCGGGCAGCCCAGGCCGGAGCCAAGGAGAAAGAAATCGAAATGTCGGGACAGTTTAGGGTTGTGGTTTAGGAATTTACACCTTCCGGATGTGTGCAAGGTTGAGCTCGGGTTTGGGCTTAGGAGACTAGGGTTTGCGTGGAGGCATGTGGAGGCTAGGAGAGCAGGTCAGATGCAGGGAGGGCTTGTGTGAAATCAGCACGGTGGCTGCTGCACTGATTCTCGATATTCAGGAAGCCACTCTGTGGTTTCTACTTCTGGCTCGTGAACCTTCTCAAGCCCGCTGTCCAACTTTGGGAAGCGAAGCGAAAGCTGGAGCCCAGGAGCAACGGAGTGAGCAACAAAGCATGTCATGCGACGTGCCACTAACCGCCTCCGAGCGCCAGAAGTAGACGATGTTCTGTCTGTTTGATCCTATTCCAGGCCTGGCCGGTGCATGCAAGAAAAGGGTTAGGGAGTTCGGATGGGTGCAACTTGTGACAAGTCGGTCACCTAGCCTGCGCGCGGCACGAAGAACTTCCCGCAGACACGGTTGATGAAAAATTGTCGCCTCCATGTCTACCAACAGAGAAGATATGACTTCGACCCATGCTATCCAAGCAAGGGGCAGGCCGGGCTCGGTAGAGCATAGCATGATACCAGTGGCTGAGGGTTCATCTCCCAGAGGCCATCACCCAGTTGGCTACGCGAGACGCAGGAACAAGCTTCGGGCGTTGGGGACGAGGTTTGCTGCATCCGAAGTTGCCTTCTCCAAAACATCTCAAAACGTCGGACAAAAGGCTCCTCCACAACCCCCTGCTTGACAAAAGCCCTTGCAGCGCTCGCGCTCGCTGACCTTTTTGACAAAGCTCTGCGCCCTGATCACTCTGCGCTTCTCTCAAGCGGTAGTGCTGCAACCTGGCAGGCGTGGCACCGCGAAGGAAAAAACCTCAAGCATTGAAACTTTCCAACCTTGAACCCCAAAATACAAAACCCATTTCTTGAGCGGGGAGGTTTCGAGACGCGGATTATTGAAGGGCTTGGAGTTCGGCCTGCTTTTGATTCACAGATGATGTCCATGCTCCAACTGCCAACAATCCGAGTCCAACCCACACTCTGGCGGGTCAGGGCTTCGGGAAACCAAGACAGCGATAATGTCAACGCACGTCAGGTCAAGACAAGCTGTTGCTTCGAGGATCGTTCGTAGGGATTCCGATTTCCCTACACAAGAGCACAGCATGACCAAACAGAAGTCACGAGGCATAAGAAAGCAATCTCAGGCCAAGCGCTGTGTGAGGTTGCGATCTGATGATCAGCAGCGATGCACATCTCTGGGTCGTTTAGGTGACGGAGGCCGGAAGCTGGCCAGGAGATGATTTTACTCGCGCAATTCTTCGAGTCAATGCAAGCGGGAAATCGCCGGCAGACGGGTATATCTGAGGCCGAGCATCGGTGGAAGGTGGGCAATCATGGAGCAAATGTCCTCCTTAGAGAAAAACTGCTGCAGAAGAACGTGCTTCGGCGAGAGGTTGTTCTCGATGCTGTACCCAAACACCTGCGGTTTAATTGAGACGACTTTTGTCACTTGTTGCCGGCTCAGCCCAACATCCTCAAGCCAGGCCACTGTGGGTTTCAGATTGCCGTCGATGCTGCAGCCCAACACAGCAGGAAAGCCAGCAACGAAGTTGGCCACCTGTTTCCGGTTCAGCCCAACATCCTCAAGAAAGGCCACCGTAGGCTTCAGATTGTTGTCGATGCTGGAGCCAAACACTTGCGGCTTCAGACAGACGACTTTGGCCACCTGTGTTTGGCTCAGGCCAACAGCCTGGAGCCACGCCACTGTGGGCTTGAGATTGCCATTGATGCTGTAGCCCAACACTCGAGGAAAGCCAGCGACAACTTTGGCCACCTGTTGTCGGGTCAAGCCAACCTCCTCAAGCCAGGCCACCGTGCTTCAGATTGCCGTCGATGCTGCAACCCAACAATTGAGGAAAGCCGGCAACGACTTTGGCCACCTGTTTCCGGCTCAGCCCAACATCCTCGAGCCAGGCCACCGTGGGCTTTAGATTGCCGTCGATGCTATAGCCCAACACTGGAGGAAAGCCCACAACGACTTTGGCCACCTGTTTCTGGCTCAGCCCAACCTCCGTGAACCACGCAGCGATTGGTTTCAGCTTGCCCTCGATGCTGATGCCCCAAATTCGTGGAAACTTGCATGCCAAAGCTCGGATTCCCTTCTTCGACAGCTTCAGCTCATGCTCCAAGAAGGAAGTCACATTCGTCTTCTTAGTCTCGATGTCGCTGGTGAGCACTGCCTCGCTCGTAAACTTGCTGGCCTGATCAAGGTCTGGCACAGGCTCGGTTGCCCCAACACTGCGGAGACGCTCGCAAACATCTTTTCTAAGTACGCTTCCCCAATTGCTAAGCAGGGCCTGCGCAACTTGTCGCACAACATGCATCAATGTCCGCCCTTGGCCGGCACACCACGTGTCTATCACCACTTCCATCGAATTCACATTCCATCTCAAATCCCGGGCAGCATGGCTAATGCGAAGAAGGCCAGAGCCCGGCGGTGCATACTCAAGCAGGGCTTCCGTCTTGCGCTCGTCCGCTTCCTGCCCCTGCTCTTCGTAATGTCTTGGATGACCGTCATACTCGACGAACAAAGCTGCATCCTGGTCCTTCAACACTCCGAATGCAGTAATATCGGGGCACAGCCAGCGCGACCGCCACGAATCGGAGGGCTGCACCGGGAAGTCGCGGAAGAGCTCCCCGATGGGCTCCCCCGGCATCAGCAGCTCCGCCAAACGAGACAGAAGCTCCACCTCCGCGTAGCTTCGGTGCGTTGTCCTCGGCCGCCCCTTCCTCCACCAGGGCGGGCCACACGCCGCTAGGCCAAGTGTGAAGCAGTGGAGAAGCCAAGTGGAGGCTCGGAAGTACCTCCATGACATCCCACGCCTCCCCTTCCTACGAAGCATCTCCACCCCCCCGCTACGACGTTCTGAGCAGCTGTAAGGCCGAGGCAAAGGCACTCTCTCTGATTCCGTGCGATGCCCCTCTTGGATTAGTTCAAAGCTGCTCCAAGTGCCGTGAGACCACAAGCAGCCCCAGAAATTGCCCCATCAACAAAACGAAACTCCCCATGGCCGAAAGCCTCCGATCTCAACAAGCACAATCTGCTACCCTTCCACTTGGGCCTCTGCCGGGCGGCGCGCGCGCGCGCGCGGCCATGGCAGAAGCACCCAGGAGAGGGCAGCGATCGTCAGCCGCAGGGCCGAGGCAAGGAAGAAAGAAACGAAAGTAGTTTGTTCAGGGAGCTTTGCGGTTCAAGAATGTCTGGTTTCCGGACGTTTGAAAGTTTGAGCTCGGATCTGGGATTTTGGGCTCTGGATTGAGGGCCGGAGGTTGCGTGGAGGCTGGGAGAGTAGGTCAGGTAAAATTAGTGCGGAGGCTGCATCCACGGCACGCTCTCGGGCGAGGAGCTCGTGGCGTGCTCTGTGGCTCCCACTTCTGGCTCACTCGGACCTCCTAAAAATGCTCTCTCCGACTTCGGGAGAAGCGGAGCGGAGGCTGGAGCCCAGGAGCAGCGGAGCCAGCAAACAGGGTTTAGGGCTTAGGGTCTAGGGCCTAGGGGGTTTAGGGGGTTTAGGGGGTTTAGGGGGTTTAGGGGGTTTCGGGGGTTTCGGGGGTTCGGGAAGAGGGGGTTTCGGGGGTTTAGGTGCCACGTGGCACCACCCTCCGCTGAGCATCAGAAGAGTGCGCCATTTCTCAGATGGTGCAGGATTGGTTGGGTTGAAGCACGTCATCAAATTCCAGACTTCAGCAGCCTGGCTTGTGTGCGCAAGGAAGATGTGACTGGAGCAGTACGATGAAATACATCCATGCACACATGCATGCATGGCTCAAGGCCCGAAGGCTTTCAAGCAGACCTGGTTGCTGAAAACTGCGTACTCCATGTCTACAATCAGAGAACACATGGCCTCCGTCTTGCACCAACACCGGCATCATCCGGACAAAAGGACATTCGATAACGGCAACGTAATACTATCGAACTAGTGGACTTGTTTTCCGGCCGTGCCCAGCAGGAGACAGCTGACACAATTAGCATGCCATCGGTTTAGGCTTCCGGCTTCGGGTACTAGCATGTCCGAATATCTCGAGGGCGACACAGGCCTTCGCGCAAGATTTACGAAGCATTAAACACAAGACACAAAGTAGCTTCGGGTAGGGCCCGATAACGCGAAAGAACAAAATGACCCCCGGGTCAAGGCCCGACACCGCCCCTTCTTCATAGGAGAGAACCAAATAATTCCGGGGCAAGGCCCCACACCGCCCTTTCTTGATAGGAGCCCCTGCAGCTCCCATGAGCTCTGGGTTTTCCTTTGATGAGACGCTGCGCCCTCGGGACTCCGCGCGGGCGGTGCTGCCGCGACCTGGCAGGCGTTGGACTACAAGAGTCGAATCCACAAGCCCGAAACCTTCCAACCCTCAACCCCCCAAACACAAAACCTAAGTTCTTGACCGGAGCTGCTTTGGGATGCAAAGGTTTGAAAGGTTTCTTCTGCATCGGTCTTGATAAGCGAAGGATGCCAATGCTCCAGCGGCGAACAATCCAACCAATGCCCTGAGGGGATCGGGCTTGGTGAGGTAGACGATCGACAAGCTGATCCTTCGTGGCTCTTTCGCAGTACGTACTTCCGCTTTCCCGGCAGGTGCAGCTCCCCCACGCTATTTCACGTACACAATGCCTCAAGACGTTCCGGCAATGCAAGTTGGGAATCGCCGGGCAAACTTCGCATCAGTCAAGGCCATTACTCTCGCAAGATTAAACAAACAGTCATGCTCCTGCAGCACCTGCAGTCGATGGAGCAGACGACCATAACTGAGGCCGAGCATCTGTGGAAGGTACACAATCATGGAGCAAATATCCGCTTCAGAGAAAAACCGCTGCAAAAGAAAATGCTTCCGTGAGAGGTTGTTGGCGATGCTGCAGCCCAACACTTGAGGATGTCGAGCAACGACTTTGGCCACCTGCTCTCGGCTCAGCCCAACATCCTCGAGCCAGGCCACTGCGGGTTTCAGCTTGCCGTCGATGCTGCAGCCCAAAAATTGAGGAAAGCCAGCAACGACTTTGGCCACTTGTTTCCGGCTCAGCCCAACATGTTCGAGCCAGGCTACTGTGGGTTTCAGATTGCTGTCGATGCTGTAGCCCAACACTGCAGGAAAGCCAGCAACGACTTTGGCCACCTGTCTCCGGCTCAGCCCAACATCTTCCAGCCATACCACTGTGGGTTTCAGATTGCGATCGATGCTGAGACCCAACACTTGAGGATGGCGAGCAACGACTTTGGCCACCTGTTGTCCGCTCAACCCAACATCTTCAAGCCAGGCCACGGTGGGTTCCAGATTGCCGTCGATGCTGTAGCCCAACACCTGAGGACAGCCAGCAACGACTTTGGCCACCTGCTTCCGGCTCAGCCCAACATCTTCAAGCCAGGCCACTGTGGGTTTCAGATTGCCGTCGATGCTGTAGCCCAACAATTGCGGAGAGCCAGCAACGACTTTGGCCACCTGGTCTCGGCTCAGCCCAACATCCTCCAGCCAGGCCACTGTGGGTTTCAGATTATCGTCGATGCTGCAGCCCAACACTGAAGGAAAGCCAGCAACGACTTTGGCCACCTGCAGTCGGCTGAGCCCAACATCCTCAAGCCAGGCCACCGTAGGCTTCAGATTGCCGTCGATGCTGCAGCCCAACACTTGAGGATATCTAGCAACGACTTTGGCAACCTGTTGTCGGCTCAGCCCAACATGCTCCAGCCACGCCACTTTGGGCTTCAGATTGCCGTCGATGCTGTAGCCCAACACTCGCGGAAAGCCAGCAACGACTTTGGCCACCTGGGGTCGACTCAGGCCAAGGTCTTGTAGCCACACGACGAGAGGTTTCAGCTTGCCCTCGATGGTGATGCCCCAAATTCGTGGAAACTTGCGTGCCAAAGCTCGGATTCCCTTCTTCGAGAATTTCAGCTCCTGCTCTAGCAAAGCAGTAACATTGGTCTTCTTTGTCTCGACATCTCTGGTGAGCACTGCCTGACTTACAAACGTCCGTGACATGTCAGAACCTGGCTGTGGTTCGGCACACTGAGAGTTGAGGCGTTCCCGCACTTCATTTTCAAGAGCACCATTGAGGCTAATCAGGAGGGACCGGGTGGCTTGATGCAAAGAGGTCGTGAGCGAAGGCACATGTCCCGCCCGCCAAACGTCGACCATCGCTTCCATCGCTGACGAAGTCTGCTTTCGTCTTAAACTCTGAGTCACGTGGCCTATCCGCAGGACGACTGAACCTTCCGGCGCATATGCAAGCAGCGCTTCTGTCTTGCGCTCATCACGCTGCTTCCCCTTCGCATCGCGGTGCCAATAACATCCGTCGTACTCGACGAACAGAGCTGCATCCACGTCTTTCAACACCCCAAATGCAGCTATGTCTGGGCAGAGCCAGCGTGACCCCCACGCATCGGAGGGCACCACCGGGAAGTCCCGGAAGAGCTCCCCGATGGGCTCCCCTGGCATCAGCAGCTCCGCCAGGCGCGACAACAGCTCCACCTCCGCAAAGCTTCGGTGCACCGTCCTCGGCCGGCCCTTCCTCCACCAGAGAGGAGGGGCCCTGCACAGAAGGCGAGGCCCGCCAAGAAACCGCGGCCCGGCCGGCAGAACTCCGAGCAAACGGCTCCGAATCGCTGCCATGCCTTCCGGCTCCCCAACAACACTTCAGAGTAACATCCGTCTTTCGCCGCTTCTTTTGATGCTGAAGCGGCATGACGACAGCACGTTGACACCAGGAAGAAGCCGGAGCATGGAAGCCCCCAAGCAACCCTGCAGCCTTCCCGACACAGCACTGCAAGCTGCCAAAGAATCCCCAGACTCCAGTTCTCAAAACAGAACTTGACTCAGCCACCACAGACCTTAATATTTAAAATGGGGTTTTGGAGTACATTGTACGATAATGACAATAAGGAACCCCCAAAATAGTATATGTAATTACTAAGGCCCCTAGATTAGATGTGCTACTGCCCATGCCTCCCACTTGGCACCAGCAGTGCAGGCGCCCAGGGCGGCGGTGAAGGCCACGAGGCCTCGGAGCTTACGTTCCAATTCAGGTTTCAAGACTTCGGGTTTCAAGGTTTTTTTTTAGGGCTTAATCTCAACGTCCATGAAATCTCCCCTGCTTTGGAATCTGCTTCGCCGGGCCACCAAGCTTGGGGGCCTGCGGCGACGTGAGCACCAGAGCCACGGCTTCCTCGGCTGTGGCAGAGAAGAGGGTGGGACGTCCATCATCTTTGCCGCTGGTATCATATACAAGTCCAGCACCAAACAACTATAGCCCTCCCTTGTGATTGTGGTCCTGAGTTCCTCATACCGAACAGATCTGAGGCTCAGGGGTTGTCACATCCCAGACTATAGGGTGCCATATTAAGACTAGAACTAGAACGGTTACGCATATGGTGTCATAGAGGCAGAAAGTGAAAACCCCAACTGCCGACAAGGCTCAACTCGGGGGCCCGACCCGAAACAACTCAAGGCTGTCCTTCCTGGAGGATCTGCGGACTTAGTAAGCATAGGGTTATAGGTAAGGTAACTATAGCTATCAGACCTACTTACAGCCTTATAGCCCCAATTAAGGTACTACTTACGGTACTTATACGGCTGGCCCCCTGAACATCCAAGTTGTAAAGCTCCAACTGCGGCGAGGCACCTCCCAGCTGGCCGCCCGCTTCAAGGCGAAGAGGGCTGCGTGGAGGTCTTTCAGTGTCCTCTGTCTTTGGCCTGCCGGAAGTTACCGGGGAAAGCCTGTCTTGCCCACCAAAGATCACCAAAGTAACTCCCCGGTGCCCCAAAGCCTCCACCCCCAAGTGATGAAACGAAGCCCAACCCTTCAACATGGGCCTGTGCCGGGCAGCGCTGCGGCCATGGCGACACCCAGGGCAGTGAAGCAGTCGCCAGCCGCAGGAGAAAGGAACAAAGGCTCAGCACAGTTTGGGCTTAGGTCTTACTTCTTTTTCGGGTTTGGGGATATCCAAGGCCCTCTTTGTGGGTGTTGTGTTTGCTCTGGGTTGCGTGGAGGCTTGAGGAACAGGGGGCAGTGCACCTGGAGGCTTCAACAAAAGCTTGCAAGGCCAGGACTACAGCATGGATCCCCGGGTTTTCGGCTCACAAGGATTTGGCCTTCATGCATTCGCCCTCCGGCCGGCTCTGGCCCGCTACAGTAACCTCCTAAGTGCGCCTTCCAACTTTGGGAAGCGAAGCGGAAGCTGAGAGCCCCAACAACAAAAACGTTTCCATGCGACATGCCTCCAAGCACCTCCCGGTCTCAGAATTGGACCCTTTCCCACATGTGTTGGGTTTACTTGGGTTGAAGGTGATCTTGAAATCCTAGTTGGACATGGTTGGGCAGTGGCTGGGGGTGTGTCTGCAGCGAGACGTTGTACCTATATGTTGAAGCAGGCAACGCAGTCATGAAAACATGTATGATAATCCCGGTGATCCCGTGCGTTTCGTCTCGCAGGCAAATATAGCAAACACGCACAGACTGCCAACGAACACGAAGATGCATGCTCCCGCCGACGTTCGCCACTCCCGGGCTACCAACCCAACTAAGCCTGCACTGCATATACCACATGAGGAGCAGGTGAAAGAAGCAAATGCTTCGTGTAGATTTCTAGAGACCCTCCAGCGCACAGGAATCGTTTTACAAGGACATGCGCTGTCATCCTTCTGCAGGCGGCCGTGCAACGGCCTCGCGGGCAGAGACCCCAGTGTTTTACAACTCTCGGCAAAGGCCACCAACACTCGACCCCTCTACTCTACTGTTGTGCCGCGAAGGACCAAACTCTTATCCTAAGCCACTTGGACACGAAGGCCTCCAGGCGATCTAGGAGTCTGGTGATGTATGCAGGGAAGAATTCAAGGACTTGCAGCGTGCGTGACTTGGGAGTCGCCTGCCCTATCTGAGGCGGTAAGACTCGGCTTTTTTTGCAACAGAGAAGGCCTGCCTCCCTCTAGCATGGCTCAATGACTCATGCCTTAATTTTTGCAGGCGGCGAAAAAGCATGACCAAGAAGCAGTCAAAAATAACACCGACGGCCACGAGACGATCGAACTGCTGGACCTGTCCCCGAAATCTTCCAACCAACTACGCCATCAGGCGAGGCCCTGCACGAGACGGCTACTTACATACCACTAGGTTTGGCTTTTGGGTTCGAGCATCTCCGCTCCAATCAAGTAAAGATTTCGAAGCACTCCACGAATAAAACAACGCAGCTCGGACTGTATCTGGGGCCCCTCTCTTGACTGAAGAAGGCTCACTGGCCAACAAGCAAGGAAATGCAAGGAAGCACCCAAGCCAGATCTCAAAGCATCAGACTTTCGGACTGGCGCTCTCCCAATCGAAGGGTCCAAGCCAAAAACCTTGAGCCCTCATACAAATGAAGCGTCAACCTTCCAACCCCTAATGCTGCGAAAACCCGAACACTCCGGGAACTCTAACCCCAAAATGCTCCACCCCCGTGGCTGTCTAGTCACCCGAAGTCCTTGAAGAGGGCCTTTGCTCCAAAGCCAACCATCTAACCACCTGGCCCTAATACCAGCACAGTCAGTGCTTGATGGACACGGGCACTGGCGATGTCAACGCATATCTGTCGGGAACAACTTTTCCTATCGTAGAGCAATCATATCGCAGGAATTCTACTTGGGTGCTATCATCATCAACATGGTGCAATGTGCCGTTTTTCGGGGGAGCTTGAGAGCTGAAACTCGCCCGATGATTTCACTACTGCAATGCTTCGAAACATCGCGACAGCTCAAGCTGGGAATCGCCGGGAAAACTTCGCATCGGTCAAAGCCATCACCTTCGCAAGCTTGCACAAGCAGCCATGCTCCTGCAGAACCTTTAGCCGAATAAAAATTCGTTCGTACCTGTATCCGAGCATGGCTGGATGGTACACAACCATGGAACAAATCTGCTCCTGAGAATAAAACTGCTGCAGAAGAAAATGCTTCCGCAAGAGGTTGTTGTCGATGCTGCAGCCCAGCACTTGAGGAAAGGCAGCAACGACTTTGGCCACCTGCACTCGGGTCAGCCCAACATCCTCGAGCCAGCGCACTGTGGGTTTCAGCTTGTCGTCGATGCTGTAGCCGGCTCAGCCCAACATCCTCGAGCCAGGCCACTGTGACTTTCAGATTGCCGTCGATGCTGCAGCCCAACAGTTGAGGAAAACCCGCAACGACTTTGGCCACCTGTTGTCGGCTCAGCCCAACATCCTCCAGCCATGCCAGTGTGGGCTTCAGATTGCCATCGATGCTGCAGCCCAACAGTGCCGGAAGGCCAGCAACGACTTTGGCCACCTGTTTCCGGCTCAGCCCAACGTCTTCGAGCAAAGCGACTGTGGATTTCAGCCTCTCGATGCTGATGCCCCAGATTCGTGGAAACTTGCGTGCCAAAGCTCGGACTCCCTTCGTCGAGAACTTCAGCTCCTGCTCTAAGAAAGCAGTCACATTGGTCTTCTTGGTCTCGATGTCGCTGGTGAGCACTGCCTTGCTCGTGAACTTGCTGGCCTGATCAAGGTCTGGCACAGGCTCGGCTGCCCCAAAACGACGGAGATGCTGGCACACCTCCTTGCGAAGTACGTTTCCCCAATTTCCGAGCAGAGCCTGCGCAACTTGCCGCACAACATGAATCAATGTTCGCTCCTGACCCGCAGACCATGTGTCTATCACCACCTCCCTCGAATTCTTCGTCCATCTCAATTCCCGGGCTGCATGACCAATGCGAAGACGCTCGTCCTTTTCCTGCCCCCGCTCATCATAATGTCTTGGATGCCCATCATACTCGACGAACAAAGCTGCATCCTCGTCCTTCAACATGCCAAATGCAGTAATACCGGGGCACAGCCAGCGCGACCCCCACGAATCGGAGGGCTCCACCGGGAAGTCGCGGAACAGCTCCCCGATGGGCTCCCCTGGCATTAGCAGCTCCGCCATCCGCGACAACAGCTCCACCTCCGCATAGCTCCGGTGCATCGTCCTCGGCCGGCCCTTCCTCCACCAGACCGGCCCACAAGCCGCCAGGCCAAGTGCGAAGCAGCCGAGGAGCCAGGAGGCTGCTCGGAAGTACCTCCATGAGATCCCACGGCTCCCCTTCCCACGAAACATCTCCACCGGACAGCTACCCTCACTTCGACTGGCCCTCGACGTTTTGAGCAGCTGTTAGGCCGAGGCGAAGGCACTCTCTCCCTTGGACCAGAAGCGGCCCCAGAATAACCCCATCAACACAACAAAAAAAACTTGGCCGCTCTCAAAAAGGCGCGAACTGCGACCCTTCCGCTTGGGCCTTTGCCGGACGGTGCGACGGCCATGGCCGAGGCATGCAGGGAGAGGGCAGCGGTCGTCAGCCGCAGGGCAGAGGCAAGGAAGAAGGAAACGAAAGTTTGCGCAAGGCAGCTTAAGAGGTTCCGGGTTTTGAGGTGCAAGAATGTCTGGTTTCCGGACGTTGGAAAGTTTGAGCTCGGATCTGGCATTTCGAGCTCTGGATTTAGCTGGGAGAGTAGGTCATGTAAAATTAAGGCGGAGGCTGTATCCACGGCACAGATTCTGGAAGTATCGGGTAATGAACTCGTGACGTGACATGAAGGAAGCCGCGCTTCGTGGCTCCCGCTTCTGGCTCACTTTGACCTCTTAAAACTGCGCTCTCCGACTTCGGGCGGCGATGCAGAGGCTAGAGCCCAGGAGCTACGGTTTGGAGGGTTTCGGGTGTAGGGTTTAGGGTGAGTCTCATGCGACGTGGCACTACGCGCCTCCGAGCATCAGAAGAGTGCCAGTTCTCAGATGGTGCAGGGTTTGTTGGGTTGAAGTGCTGGCTGGTGTGCGCAAGGAAGATGTGACTGGAGCAGTACGATGCAATACATCCATGCTCACATGCATGCGTGGCTCGCGGCACGAAGTATCCAGCAGACGTGGTTGCTGAAAACTGTGTACTCCATGTCTACCATCAGAGAACTCATGGCCTCCGTCTCGCATGACTCATCCTCTCCAACACCGGCATCATCCGGACAAAAGGACATTCGAGAACGGCAACGACTGGGTAAAACTGTCGAACTAGTGGACTTGTTGTCCGGCCGCGCCCAGCAGGAGACAGCTGAGACAATTATCATGCCATCGTTTAGGCTTCCGGCTTCGGGTACCAGCATGTCCGAATATCTCGAGGGCGACACAGGCCTTCGCGCAAGATTTACGAAGCATTAGACACAAGACACAAAGCAGCTTCGGGTAGGGCCCGATAACGCGAAAGAACAAAATGACCCCCGGGTCAAGGCCCGACACCACCCCTTCTGGATAGGAGCCCATGCAGCTCCCATGAGCTCTGGGTTTTCCTTTGATGAGACGCTCCGCGCTCGGGACTCCGCGCGGGCATGGTGCCGCGACCTGGCAGGCGTTGGACTACAAGAGTCGAATCCACAAGCCCGAAACCTTCCAACCCTCAACCCCCCAAACACAAAACATAAGTTCTTGACCGGAGCTGCTTTGGGATGCAAAGGTTTGAAAGGTTTCTTCTGCATCGGTCTTGATAAGCGAAGGATGCCTATGCTCCAGCGGCGAACAATCCAACCAATGCCCTGAGGGGATCGGGCTTGGTGAGGTAGACGATCGACAAGCTGATCCTTCGTGGCTCTTTCGCAGTACGTACTTCCGCTTTCCAGACAAGAAAGCACAGAGTTACCACCACGCCAGCATCTCTGGGTCAGGGAAGCCTGCCAGCAGGTGCAGCTCCCCCAGGCGATTTCAGTTATGCAATGCCTCGCAAGTTGGGAATCGCCAGGCAAACTTCGCATCAGTCAGGGCCATTACCCTCGCAAGATTAAACAAACAGTCATGCTCCTGCAGCACCTGCAGTCTATAGAGCAGACGACCATAACTGAGGCCGAGCATCTGTGGAAGGTACACAATCATGGAGCAGATGTCCTCGCTAGAGAAATACTGCTGCAGAAGAATGTGCTTCCGCGAGAGGTTGTTCTCGATGCTGTAGCCCAACACGTGAGGAGAGCCAGCAACGACTTTGGCCACCTGCTGTCGGCTCAGCCCAACACCCTCGAGCCACGCCACTGTGGGTTTCAGGTTGGCCTCGATGCTGTAGCCCAACACTTGAGGATGGCGAGCAACGACTTTGGCTACCTGTTGTCCGCTCAACCCAACATCTTCAAGCCAGGCCACTGTGGGTTCCAGATTGCCGTCGATGCTGTAGCCCAACACCTGAGGACAGCCAGCAACGACTTTGGCCACCTGTCGTCGGCTCAGCCCAACACCCTCGAGCCACGCCACTGTGGGTTTCAGATTGCCGTCGGTGCTGTAGCCCAACACTCGAGGACATCCAGCAACGACTTTGGCCACCTGTTCTCGGCTCAGCCCAACATCTTCGAGCCAGGCCACTGTGGGTTTCAGATTATCGTCGATGCTGTAGCCCAACACTGAAGGAAAGCCAGCAACGACTTTGGCCACCTGGGGTCGACTCAGGCCAAGGTCTTGTAGCCACACGACGAGAGGTTTCAGCTTGCCCTCGATGGTGATGCCCCAAATTCGTGGAAACTTGCGTGCCAAAGCTCGGATTCCCTTCTTCGAGAATTTCAGCTCCTGCTCTAGCAAAGCAGTAACATTGGTCTTCTTTGTCTCGACATCTCTGGTGAGCACTGCCTGACTTACAAACGTCCGTGCCTTGTCAAAACCTGGCTGTGGTTCGGCACACTGAGAGTTGAGACGTTCGCGCACGTCATGTTCAAGAACATCTTCGAGGCTAATGCGGAGGGACCCTGTGGCTTGATGCAAAGAGGTCGTGAGCGACGGCACATGTCCTGCCCGCCAAACATGGACCATCGCCTCCATCGCTGTCGAAGTTTGTTTTCGTCTTAAACTCTGAGTAACGTGACCTATCCGCAGGACGACTGAACCTCCAGGCGCATATGCAAGCAGCGCTTCTGTCTTGCGCTCATCACGCTGCTTGCCCTGCGCATCGCGGTGCCAATAACATCCGTCGTACTCGACGAACAAAGCTGCGTCCTCTTGCTTCAACACCCCAAATGCAGCTATGTCTGGGCAGAGCCACCGTGACCCCCACGCATCGGAGGGCTGCACAGGAAAATCGCGGAAGAGCTCCCCGATGGGCTCCCCTGGCATCAGCAGCTCCGCCAAACGAGACAAGAGCTCCACCTCCGCAAAGCTTCGGTGCGTTGTCCTCGGCCGGCCCTGCCTCCACCAGAGAGGAGGCGCACTGCACAGAAGGCGAGGCCCCACAGGAAACCGCAGCCCGGCCGGCAGAACTCCGAGCAAACGGCTCCGAATCGCTGCCATGCCTTTCGGCTCCTCGGCTCCTCAACAACACGTCAAGAGCCGCATCATCCTTCGCTGTTTCTTTTGATGCTGATGCGGCCGCACGATGAGATGATGACAAAGAAGCGGTCAGTAGCCCACAATCGTGCAGCCCCAGACCCCAGCACTGCGACCTGCCCTGGACAACAATCACGAGTTGATTCTGAATGATAGAGTAGACTGTATCGTATATCCTTTAGATACGCGCACCACTGCCATTGCCTCCCACTTGGCCCCGGCAGTGCACGCGCCCAGGGCGGCGGTGAAGGCCACGAGGCCTCGAAGCTTCCGAGAATTCTCGGCACACGGGTTCACAAGGCCGAATTCGACATGTTACAATACTGCACAGCTTCAGATGTGAAGAAGAAATCATGACCTCTCTTTGGAATCTGCTTCGCCGAGCCACCAAGCTTGGGGGCCTGCGGCGACGTGAGCACCAGAGCCACGGCTTCCTCAGCTGCGGCAGAGAGGACGGTGGGACGTCCTTCACCACTCGTGTCACACACGATACCATCACGAAGCGAACTCGATTCCTCATACGGAACAGATGTGGGGCTCAAGGGTGTTCACAGGGACAGAAAGTGAAAACCATCAACAAAACGAAACCCCCCCCATGGCCGCACGCCTCCGACAAACTGCGACCCTTCCACTTGGGCCTCTGCCCGGCGGCACCGCGGCCATGGCCGAAGCACCCAGGGAGAGCGTCAAGGGCAGAAGCAAACGAAGGTTTGGGGGTACAGCGAGAGCGAGTGAAATCTCAGCATGGAGGCTCTATACATGGCCAGCATATTGCGCTGATTATCAAATCTTCGGGCGACCACCTTTTTCAGGAATTCGATCTGCGGCTCCCACTTCTGGCTTGTTAACCTCCTAAGCGCGTTGTCCGGAAGCTGGAGCCCAGGAGCAGAGGAGCCAGCAAAGGGAATCCTCAAAACAGCTCACAACAAGATAAATAAATTGGCCTCTCGCCAAGAAGTACCCTTCGGACAAAAGGCTCCACACATCCCTGCTTGATAGGAGCCCTTGCAGCGGTCACACTCTCTGTTTTTGTTCGACAAGGCCCTGCGACCTGATGACGTTGCGCTTCTCTTGCGCTCTCTGCCGCAGTGCAACAGGCCACACCGCGGCCTCGCCAAGCATCGAAAAGCCGAAACCCCCGAAGCCCCAATTTATTTGTTCAGGTACTGAAATGAAAGAGATTTCGCATGTCTGCAAAAAGAGAGTCGAGTCTCCAGAGGATTGCAGTTCGCCATAGTTTTGCACACTAGCAGGGGAGAAAACCGTTGGACATGGTCGGCCTTGGGCCTTGCAGGATCGACGCCCAGGGTCTGTATAGATAAGCTTGGAGAGGTTGTCTGATGGGGGTTTGTTGGCGACCTTCAAACTTAAGCATTGTCGCTGACACTCTCAGCGTCAACTCGACGGAACTTCTCAAAAACAGCCTGTACAGCAATTCTCCTTATCGAGCAGCGCAAAGCATAGACACGCTAGACTACACTCTCTGGCCTCGCAGAAAACAAAGCGGTCTTGGTTGGGGAAGGGCAAGATCTTTGTCGTGCAGTGGCAGCGGACATCTGGGAATCTTCGAAACCAGAGCCGCAAGCTCGGAAGTCCTGCAAACTGAGCTGGGTGAGCTCCTGACTTTGTCAATTGCGGTACCATGTAAGATCTGTGAGGAGAAGTGGCTCCACAAAAAGACTGCGTCCTGAGCACGGGCCTCGTTGCAGTGCAGCTGCCGATGCCATTCCCCGAAACTATCCAGCAACAGCACGAGCGCTGCCGCCCTGCCTCCAAGTCCGTGGCCGAAAACACATCAGGGCAGCGATCTCGGGCGGAGAGCCAAAACAGCTCGATGGGCAATGCTAGGTCCTCAAACCGAGTCTGCCGGCTCGAGAGGGAATCGCCTGGCAAATTCATCGTTGGTCAGGGTCATAACACTGGCCAGCTTTGCTACGGCATCGCGCTTCTGCAGCACATGCAGGCGGTGCTGCAGCCGAGAGAAGCTGAAGCCCAGTAGTGCTGGGAGATACACGATCATATCGCGGACTTCGCCATCAGAGAAGTGCTGCCGTAATAAAATATGCTTGGGAGATAGGTTGGCCTTGATGCTGAGGCCGAGCACTTGAGGAAAGATGGAAACGACCTTTGCCACCTGAAGCCGGCTCAACCCAACAGCTTCCAGCCAAGTAACTTTGGATCGCAAGTTGGCCTTGACACTGTACCCAAACACTTGAGGCTGCCGAACAATGACCTTGGCCACCTGCGGCCGACTCAAACCTAGATTCTCAAGCCAAGCCAGTGTAGGATTCATCGTGGCCTTGATGCCGCAGCCCAGCACTGGAGGAAAACTAGAAACGACTTTGGTCACCTGCCACTGACTCAAACCAAGATCCTCGAGCAAAGGGACCGTGGGTTTCAGAGTGGCCTCCAGGCTGCAACCCAAGACACGAGGAAAGGCATCAACGACTTTGGCCACCTGCTTTCGGCTCAGCCCAACTTCCTCGAGCCACGCCACGGTGGGTTTCAGATTGGCCTCGATGCTGTAGCCCAGCATTGCAGGGAAGCCAGCAACGACTTTGGCCACCTGCGTTCGACTCAGCCCAACATCCTCCAGCCAGGCTACTGTGGGTTTTAGATTGGCCTCGATGCTGTAGCCAAACACTTGGGGCTTCAGACGGACGACTTTGGCCACCTGCTGTCGGCTCAGCCCAACATCCTCGAGCCAGGCCACTGTGGGCTTCAGATTGGCCTCGATGCTGCAGCCCAACACTGGAGGAAAGCCAGCAACCACTTTCGCCGCCTGCTTGCGGCTCAGCCCAACATCCTCGAGCCAGGCCACCGTGGGCTTCAGATTGCCGTCGATGCTCAGGTCCAAGAGTCGAGGAAATACAGCGACAGCTTTAGCTACCTGCCTTCGGGTCAGCCCAACATCCTCAAGCCACGCAACAAGATGTCTGAATTTGCCCTCGATGCTGATCCCCCAGATTCTTGGAAACCTGCTCGCCACAGCGCGGATTTCGACCTCTGAAAACTGTAACTCTCCTTCCAAGAATGCAATGATATTGGTCTTCTTGGTCTCGACGTCGCTGGTAAGCGCCGCCTCGCTTGTAAACTTGCATGCCTGATGATGGAGGCCTGCCATGGTTTCGGCGGCCCAGAGATGCTGGCACACCTCCTTTCGAAGTATGTTTCGCCAACTGCTGAGCATGGCCTGTGCAACTTGGCGCACAACACGCATTAACGGCCGCTGTTGTCCTGCAGACCACATGTCTACCACAACTTCTTTCGAATTCGTCGCCCTCCACATGTTCCGAGCTGCATGGCATATTCGCAAAACACGAGAGTTTGGCGGTGCGTAGTCAAGCAGAGCTTCCGTCTTGCGCTCGTCCGCTTCCTGCCCCTGCTCATCGTAATGTCTTGGATGCCCGTCATACTCGACGAACAAAGCTGCATCCTCGTCCGTCAGTACTCCAAATGCAGTAATATCGGGGCACAGCCAGCGCGACCCCCACGCGTCGGAGGGCTCTACAGGAAAATCGCGGAAGAGCTCCCCGATGGGTTCCCCTGGCATCAGCAGCTCCGCCAAACGAGACAAAAGCTCCACCTCCGCGTAGCTCCGGTGCGTTGTCCTCGGCCGCCCCTTCCTCCACCAGGGCGGCCCACAAGCCGCCGAGCTGAAACAGCCGAGAAGCCAACAGATCGCTCCGAAGCGTCCCCAAGGATTACCCGACCCACGCTTGGCACACATAATCCCTTCAAAAGCCTACACTGACTCTCCACCCTTTCATCTCGACACGGCACGGCTTCGAGGAAACAACAGGTCTCAGGCAACACGAACCCGAAAACAAGCACCTCAAATTTCAGCGTCCCTTCTGCCTACTCGAGAACACCATTCGGTACAGTCACTGCTTGGTCGCCACACGGAAGCACAAGAATCTCTCGTGACATCTCCACTTCGGCCCTGCCTGGCCTCGCGCCGACTGAAGCGAGGCTTCCGCGGCCTCGCCGTGGCGACGCAGCCGAGGCCTGCAAAACGAGGGGGCGAGGAGCAGCATGAGACCCTACAAAGCATCCTACGGCCCAGGCCAGATGTCAGTTATTGGAAGCATATTCGCCGAAAGCTTGGGCTGGGGGACAGCGGATCTATTGAAGGGTTTGAGGCGCTGACCTCTGAGCTAGTTCGTCGCCTGAGGCAAAACAGAGCAGAAAGCGGAAAGCAAAGCGACACCTTGTCCCAAGCTCCAAATAAACTAGACTAAAACTCTGTGTCCTCCCACAAAGCTACATGATGGCACGAAAACGGCTGACAGGAAGAAGCTGGGCAAGACTTTTGCGCCACCGTGGCAGCGAACATCCGAGGACAAGGCAAGTCGCACAAGCTGAGCTGCAGGACATGCAGCCGGACAATCCCAGCATCCCCCCAAGCTTGAGGTTGAGTTGTAAAGACTTCTGCCATCTTCACGCTGCACAATGCAACATGCTCAAGCAATGCCTGCCGGCGGTGCCATTCCTCAAACAGTGTCGGGCAACTGTAACAGCCTGCCTTCTGGCCTTTATAATCGACTCCACTCCTTCGCTTGCGACTTTCGCCCAGGCCCACGCCAAGAAACGCACGCTGGTCAACGACAGCTGAGTCAACTGAACCTGCCAGCTCAAAGCACAGAATCGCTCGGCAAATCCATCGTTCGTCAGTGTCAAAGCTCTTGCCAGCTTTGCTACGGTGCAGCAAAACATCCTCAAAGCCAGGCCATTCCCCAAATGTGTCCACTACGAGCTCGGCTTGCCCGAAAGCCTTGCCTGTGGCGCTTCTAAGCTGCACCATCATCCAAATAATAGCACCGCTTCACAGCAACTTTGCACCACCTTGATGGGCTGCAGACAGCCAGGCAACTCGGCACCCAAAGAAAAACTCACGGGAAGCAGGAGCTGACTCGATGCACGAGGCCCGAGACGTACCGCGGCAGTGATCTCGGCCAGAGAATGCCAAGCAAGGACCAGGTCCACACTTTGAGGCTATGATGGGCATTGCGACGGGCAGCAAGCGGAAACGCTGAGGTGGAATCTAACCTGCCAGTCCCGCCAGCTCAAGAGGGAAATCTCCTGTCAAATTCAGCATTCGTCAGGGTCATGAGCTTCGGCAGCTTCCGCAAGGCGTCATGCTTCCGCAGTACATGCAGGCGGTGCTCCAGCCGAGAATAGCTGCAGCCCAGTAGCGCTGGGAGAGATAAGATCATATCGCAGACTTCGTCAGGCGAGAGGTGCTCCAGCAGCAGCACATGCTTGTGTGATAGATTGTTCTGAATGCTGAGGCTGAGCACTTGGGGGAAAGTTGCGATGACTCTAGCCACCTGAGATTGAGTCAACCCGATGTTCCGTAGCCACATCACGGTGGGATTCAGCTTGGTATCAATACTGTATCCAAGTACCTGAGGCAAGCGAGCAACCACCTTGGCCACCTGCAGCCCACTTAACCCGACGTCTCCCAACCAGGCCAGCGTTGGCTTCAGATTGCCTTCAATGCTATAGCCCAAGATTGGCGGAAAACCGGCAACAACTTTGGTCACCTGTTGACGACTCAGCCCAGATTCCTTGAGCCAGGCCACCGTGTGTTTCAGATTCGCCTCGACACTGTACCCTAACACTGGAGGATGACAGGCCAGAACTTTGGCCACCTGCTGCGGGTCCAGCCCAACATCCTCGAGCCACGCCGTTGTGCGCTTCAATCTAGCCTCCAAACTGTAGGCCAATGCATAAGGATATGTAGCTACTACCTTGGCCACATGTTCTCGGCTCAACCCAACCTGCTGAAGCCAGGCCACAGCTGGTTTCAGCTTGCCCTCGACGCTGCAACTCAAGATCTGTGGAAAAGTCGAGATGGCTTTGGCGACCTGCTTTCTGCTCAGCCCAAGATCCTCGAGCCAGGCCGCAGTGGGTTTCAGCTTCGCTTCGATGCCGCAGCCGAACAACTGCGGAAGGTCAGAAACGACTTTGATCACCTGCTTGCGGTTCAGCCCCACACGCTCGAGCCAGGTGACTTTGCACTTCAGATTGGCCTCGATGCTGTAGCGCAAGACAAGAGGAAAGACAGCAATGACTTTGGCGACCTGCTTCCGGCTCAGCCCAACATCTTCCAGCCACACTACTTTGGGCATAAGGTCGTTCTCGATGCTGTAGCCCATGACTTGGGGAAACCTAGCCACGACCCTGGCCACCTGCGGTCGGCTCAGCCCAACACGTTGCAACCAGGCTGAAGTGGGCTTCAGAACGCCCTCTACACTCAAACCCCAGATCCCGGGAAACTTGCTCCCCAAGGTCTCGATGTGGGTGCTTGAGAAATTCAAATCCCGTGCCAGGAACGCGATCACGTCAGCCCTCTTCGTCTCAACGTCTCTAGTAAGCTCCGCCTTGCTCACAAACGTGCGCGCCTTGTTGAATCTTGGTTTCGGCTCGGTGACCTGGAAGGTATGGAGACGCTGAGACACGTCCTCTCGAAGCTCGATGTCGCAATTACTGAGAAGGGCCCAGACGCTTTGGCTAACAGCTTTCATCAGTGACGGCTCATGCCCGTCACGCCACGTATTCACGATCACATCCACCGAGGGTCCCTGGCTTCTCCGATTTCCTGTGGCATGGCCTATTCGCAGCACGCACGAGCCCTCGGGTGCATAGCGGAGCAGAGCTTTTGTCTTGTGTTGCTTTGTCGAATTGCAACCCGGCCCATCCGTGCCCTGATCGCTGCCATCGTATTCAACGAATAGAGCTGCACCATCGTTTTGCAGCACGCCGAACACAGCGATGCCCGGGCTCAGCAAACACGAATCCGCCAGCGACGGCTCCACGGTAAAGTCTCGGAAGAGCTCGCCTATGGGAAGGCATGGCATCAGCAGCTCTGCCAAACGCGACAGAAGCTCCACCTCTGCGTGGCTGCGGGGCTTGGTCCTCGGCCGGCCCTTCCTCCACCAAGGCGGGCCACAAGCCGCCAAGCCAAGCACGAAGGTCAGGGCCAGAAAGCAGCCGGCTCCCAACCTCCATGAGATCCCACGCCTTCCCATCTCCGCCTTTTTGGGCTTGAGCCTCCAGCGGCGATGCGACTTCAGCTGTCTGCCTTTCCCTTGAGACTTCTAGAAAGCGGGTTTTTAGGATGTGGCGGTGTTGGGATTTTAAGGTTAGTCGGTTCAGGCCTTCGAGCGAAACTAAAGCCGGCCTTCATTTGCTGGCCCTTGCGGTGCCGCGGCGGTGGCAGCGCCTTCGTTTGATTCAAGGACTCGGATGTAGAGCTCACCTAGACTCCAGACTCCTACTTAGAGGATCAGGCACTTAGTAAGTAGGGTTATAAGTACCCTAAATAGGGTTATAAGTAGATATAACTAAAGTTAGCTTGCTCATATCCCTACTTACTAAGTCTCCTGATCTTCTAAGTAGACTAGCCATGTACCTTTGAAACACACACCACGTAAGCTGATACGGTTTCTCTGTACTCGTGTTTGAAGTACCTTGGCTACATTCGGAACATTAGCGGCAAGCTTTAGCTGAGATCCGACTTCCTCGTCAAGTTCCCTCTTCTATGATGACCGGGCGTTCGACTTCGGCGTCTCCGACTCTGAGTGCTGAACTCCATTAACCCAGAAGCTCTGCTACGCCTTAACCAAGGAATATCGAAGAATCTCCCAGAGATGTTTGTGGCCTGGGAAACCGTATACAGAAAGCACTCTCACAACCGAGGTTTTCAAAGGCAAATCAAACGCTGCTCCAGATGTCCCTTCTTCCTGGGTTTGAAGCCAGCGTAGACCCTAAAACCTAAACTTAAAACCTAAACTTCCATTGGTCAGTCTTTCAACGAGGCCCTCCACGCTCTCAGGACTTCAGGCTGCACTTATCCAGGTCATGGCAATGCGCTAATGCGAGAGATCCGAAGCTTCGATGAAAGCGGACGGACAGATTTGGGGTGTTTGGGTGCAGGCTTGGGCACAAAAGGTCCAGAGTCTACATCCTTTCATCTCCATGAACTGCAGCACCTCGACAAGCCGGCGTGCTGCTTATAGGATCTCGCAGACAAGCATGGCGATGGCCTTCCAGTCTGATCACATCTCCGTGACTGAACTCGTTCTCGCGACAGGTTTTCCTGAAGTCTTATGCAAGAATCCTAAGCTGCAGGGAAAACAGGAATGACGTCGGCCGCCTCCCTCAAGCCGGACCATTGCGGGCTTCATGTCAACGTTGACGTACCTTCTGCAAAAACCCAAAGACCGGCGAAAGCCAGCAACGACTTCGGCCAGCTGCATCCAAGACCTTCAAGCCACACCGAGCTGGACTTCATCTTGCCGGCGGCGCTGAACCCTCTGACTTGAAAAACTGGCGCGCCAGAGCCACGGATTCGGTGGCTGAGGACGGCAGCTTCCGAAATCGCAGGCATGTTGGCTTCGTTCCTTTCGAAGTTGCTAGTGAGGCTGGCTTCACCTAGCTCAAGACGGGAACCGTTCCGCAAAGCGGGAATCCGTCCAGGTCATGACAGCAGTCAGCCTTGACACCACGTCGTGCTTTTGCAACACCTGGAGACGATGACGCAGCCGAGCGAAACTATAGCCCAGAAGTGCAGGGAGACGTCTGATGATGTCTCGAAGTTCGTCACGAGTGAAGTGCTCCAGCAAGAAAAGATGCTTGGGAGAGAGATTATTCTGCATGCTGAGGCTGAGCACATGCGGGAAGGTTGCAATGACTCCTGCCACCTGCAGCTGCGTCAATCCGACCTCCCGTAGCCACAACACAGCGGGCTTCAACTTGGCATCAATGCTGTATCCGAACACTTGAGGCAGGCGACCAATGACTTTGGCCACCTGCTCCCGACTCAACCCAGTGTCGCGAAGCCACGCCACTGTCGGTTTCAGTTTGGCCTCGATGCTGCAAGCGAGGACTGGTGGAAAGCCAGCAACGACCTTGACCACCTGCTCTCGGTTCAGCCCAACCTCCCCCAGCCACGCCACTTTGGGCTTCAAATTGGCCTCGAGGCTGTAGCCCAAAACCGAAGGACTGCAAGCAACGACTTTGGCCACCTGCTCTCGGCTCAGCCCGACGCCCCAAAGCCAGGCCTCTGTGGCTTTCAGCTTCGCGCCGATGCTTAAGCCGAGCAACTGTGGAAAGTTAGCAACAACTTTGGTCAGTTGCTGTCGGCTCAACCCCAGATCCCGCAGCCAGGCCACTTTCGGCTTCAAGTTGCTCTTGACACTTAAGCCCAGCAATCCAGGAAAGCCAGCAACGGCTTTGCACACTTGCTTTCTGCACAGTCCAGCATCCTCAAGCCACTTCACAGTCGGCTTCAGCTTTTCCTCGATGCTGCAGCCCAAGACAAAAGGGGAACTTGCAACGACTTTGGCCACCTGCTCTCGGCTCAGACCCACACTCTGAAACCAGGCCACCGTGGGCTTCAGATTGGCCTCGATGTTGAAGCGCAAGACCTGAGGGTGACCAAGAAGGACTTTGGTCACCTGCTGTCCGCTAAGACCAAGATCCTCGAAGCAGCTCACCGTCGGCTTCAACTTGTCGTCGATGCTGATGCGCAAGATTTTCGGAAACTTATCCACCAAAGCCTGGATCTGGGCTTCAGAGAACCTCAGATGTTCTCGCAGAAAGGCAAACACCTGGGCCTCCTTGTTCTCGACGTCGCCGACGAGCACTGCCTTGCTTGCAAACTTGCGCGCTTCGTTGAATCTTGGCTTCGGCTCGGTGACCTGGAAGGTATGGAGACGCTGAGACACGTCCTCTCGAAGCGCGATGTCGCAACTACTGAGAAGGGCCCAGACGCTTTGGCTAACAGCTTTCATCAGCGACGGCTCATGCCCGTCGCGCCACGTATTCACTATCGCATCCGCCGAATGTTCCTGCCTTCTGCAGTTCCCTGTTGCATGGCCTATTCGCAGCACGCACGAGCCCTCAGGTGCGTAGCGGAGCAGAGCTTTTGTCTTGTGTTGCTTTGTCGAATTGCAACCCGGCCCATCCGAGCCCTGATGGCTGCCATCGTAGTCGACGAACAGAGCTGCACCATCGTTCTGCAGCACGCCGAACACAGCGATGCCCGGGCTCAGCGAACGCGAATCCCATGCCGGCGACGGTTTCACAGTGAAGTCTCGGAAGAGCTCGCCTATGGGAAGGCGTGGCATCAGCAGCTCCGCCAAACGAGACAGAAGCTCCACCTCCGCAAAGCTTCGGTGCCTTTTCCTCGGCCGACCCTTCCTCCACCAGGGCGGGCCACAAGCCGCCGAGCCAAGCAAGAAGGTCAGGGCCAGAAAGCACAAGCTCCACGAGATCCCACGCTTTCCCTTCAAGTGCATCAACTCACGTCATCTCCGCCCTCCCTGCCCTTGAGCTTTCAGCTGCGACCTCACGCTACGGTTCTGCATAAAGGACTTCCGCTGCCTGGCTTTCCCTTAGAGTTCTGGAGTTTTAGGATGGGGAGTGTTGGGAATTTAAGTTTAGAGGGTTTCGACGTCAAGAACCCGCTGCTCTGGATCGAGCGCAAACCCTTCGCGCGGGGCCTGCAACTTGCCGGCGCTCGCGATTTGCAGTGCCATCGTTGCGAGTCGATGTTTCGTGTGTAAAGCTCAAATCGACTAAGCAATGTACGATTGAAAAGAAGGCCTAGAGTGATAGATATACTGTACATTGACGGAATATGGTCATTCCCTGTGTTCAAGGTACCTTGGCTACTTTTATTGGCAAGAATTTGCTAGGTCCGACAGCCTCTGCTGGGTCAAATACCATGTGTCCAACCCGGAGAGCCCAAATCTATTTCAAGTTATGGAGGATCCTGGTGTGCTGCGAGGTATAATGCTCAAGTGAGAGGTAGCATGCAGCATTGGGCTCTCGGAATTTGTGTGGCGGAGATACTAAGTGCCATGGTCCTTTAAGTAATCCTAAACTCCTCCTTATAGAACCCTCATAGACCCCTCATAGAATCCTTATGGACCCCTTTTAAGGAGCCTTTTTAAGGCGGCCCCAACGCGCCTCCGAGCTTCAGGGGTATCCAAGAGTCGGTTTCTCTCGACTCTGAGGGTGGGAGTATGATTATCACTGTCATAAATACGAGTACTACTACCATTAATAATGATTGTTAGTTAGCATTCCTACTATGATTGCTACAAGTATGCCACGGATTTCGAGATCGGACCACAAAAGTCCACCTAATGAAACAGTGAACCAGCTTGTCAGGCTACCGCCCGTCACACAACACCTGGGAACGTGACAAGCGACAAGAATGCTCCAGATGTGACTGGGACCTCTCATTTAGAAGTTGCACAACCTGCGAGGATCTACCAACCCAGGCCACGTTCCCCTGTTCTGAAGCAAACGCTGCTCGTCATTCTTTCAACCTGTCGCACATTCAGGACTTCACCTTGCTGTTGTCCAGGTGAAGGCGCCGCGGCCTGGCGAGCGCGAATCCATGGAAATGCAGCCGGAAGCCGATCCCAAAGATCCCCAAATGCCGAAAGCCCAGAAGAGCGAGGGAATCCACATCTTTTTTGTCGATGTACTGAAGCATCGTGGTCCCGTCTCGCACACTCTCGCGGCGAAAGATCGTCCGTCAAACCTCGCTCGACAAGCAAAGTGCTGAAACAGGATCTTCGAGCAACGTCTCAAGGAAGGGCAGCACAGCGATACTCCAGAATCTCCGGAAGTGGCTTGAAAGGACCTCCGTAACTGTCCGTAACTATATTCATTCTCACGACAGGCTGAGCATTATGCAGACCATCTTCTTCCTCAATCAAGACCATTGTGGACTTCATGGTGGCATACCTGCAAGCTACGGAATCGCAAGAGCCAGCAACGGCTTCGGCCGGCGGCCTCCAAGATCTTGGAGCCACACCAAGCTGAACTTCTTCTTGCTGCCACAGAAGTCTGCGACACGGAAACTCACGCGCCAGAGCCACGGCTGGGGTGTCTGAGAACTGCAGGTCCCTTCCGAAGTCACAAGCATGTTGGCTTCCTACCGGCAATTACTGTCTTCCTTGATTTCGAAGATGCTAGCTGCAGTAAGGATGTCAGCATCCAGCTCAAGACGGAAACTGCTCCGCAAAGCGAGCATCCGTCAAGGCCATAACGGGAGGCAGTCTGGACACCGCATCGTGCTTCTGCAATACATGAAGACGATGACGCAGCCGAGCGAAACTATAGCCCAGAAGTGCAGGGGCGCGTCTGATGATGTCTCGAAGTTCGTCACGAGTGAAGTGCTCCAGCAAGAAAAGATGCTTGGGAGACAGATTACTCTGCACGCTGAGGCTGAGCACTTGCGGGAAGGTTGCAATGACTCCTGCCACCTGCAGCTGTGTCAATCCGACCTCCCCTAGCCACAACACAGTGGGCTTTAACTTGGCATCAATGCTGTATCCGAACACCTGAGGCAAGCGACCAACGACCTTGGCCACCTGCTTCCGACTCAGCCCAATGTCCCGAAGCCAAGCCACTGTGGGTTTCAGCTTAGTTGCGATGCTCACGCCTAGCATCCGTGGGTATGTAGCAACAGCTTTGGCCAGTTGTGGCCGGCGAACCCCGAGAGTTTCGAGCCAGGCCATTTTCGGCTTCAAGTTGCTCTTGATACTTAAGCCCAACAATCCAGGAAAGCCGGCAACGGCCTTGCACACTTGCTTTCTGCAGAGTCCAGCATCTTCAAGCCACTCCACCGTGGGCTTCAGATTTCCCTCGATGCTGCAGCTCAAGATTGAAGGACAGACGGAGATGACCTGGGCCACCTGCTGTCGGGTAAGCCCAACATCCTCAAGCCAAGACAGTGTCGGCTTCAGATTGCCGTCGATACTTAAGCCCAAGAGCGAAGGAAAGACACCAACGACTTGAGCTATCTGTTTCCGGCTCAGCCCAAGATCCTCGAGACAGGCCACAGTGGGCTTCAAGTTCACCTCGAGGTTGTAGCCGAACACATAAGGAAAACGAGCGACAACTTTGGCCACCTGCTCTCGGCTGAGCCCAACATCCTCGAGCCAAGCCACAGTCGGCTTCAGATTAGCCTCGACGCTGTACCACAAAACTGCTGGATGTTCAGCAACGACTTTGGCCACTTGCTGTTGGCTCAGGCCAAGGTCATCCAACCATGTCAACATGGGCTTCAGCTTGCCGTCGATGCTGCAGCCCAGCACTTGCGGATGACCTGCAATGACTTTAGCCACCTGCTTGCGGTTCAGCCCAATATCCTCCAGCCAGCCCGTAGCAGGCTTGAGCTTGGCCTCAAGGCTGTACCAGAAGATTGAAGGAAAGCGAGATACGACTTTGGCCACCTGCCGTCGGCTCAGCCCAACACTTTGAAGCCAGGCTACGGTTTGCTTCAGTTTGCCTTGGATGCTGAGCCCCATGATTGAAGGAGACACAGCGATGGCTTTGGCTATCTGCTGTCGGTTAAGACCGACACCCTTAAGCCATGCCACCTTGGGCTTCAAATTGTCGTCGAGGTTGCAGCCCAAAACTTGAGGAAAGCCAGCAACGACTTTGGCCAGGTTCGACTGGCTCAGTACTATATTTTGGAGCCAGGACACGGTGGGTTTCAAATTGTCTTCGAGGTTGCAGCCTAGCACGGGAGGGAAACCAGTGACGACTTTGACCACCTGCTTCTGGCTCAGACCCACATCCTCGAGCCAGGCCAGGGTCGGCTTCAGTTTGGCTTCCAGGCTGTACCCCAGCACTTCAGGCTTGGAAGATATGACTTTGGCCACCTGCTTTCCGCTCAGCCCCACACCTTCAAGCCATGCAACAGTGGGCTTCAGATTGGTTTCGATGCCGAGGCCCAAGAGCTGAGGATGACGCACAAGGACTTTGGCCAGCTGCTTTCGGCTAAGGCCGAGATCCTCAAGCAACGCCGCGATCGGCTTCAACTTGCCGTCGACGTTGATGCGCCAGATTCGCGGAATCTTGCTCAGAGAAATCCGAATCTGAGCTTCAGAGAACCCCAGATCCTCTTCCAGGAACGCGATCACGCCAGCCTTCTTCGTCTCGACGTCTCTCGTAAGCTCCGCCTTGCTTGAAAACTTGCGCGCCTTGTTGAATCTCGGCTTCGGTTCGGTGACCTGGAAGGTGCGGAGACGCTGACAGACGTTCTCTCGAAGCGCAATGTCGCGGTTGCTCAGCAGGACCCACACAACTTGGCCCACAGCTTTCGTCAGCGACGGCTGATGCCCTTCACGCCACACATTCACGATCGCGTCCACCGAATTCTCGATCTTTGCAAAGTCCCCTCGCAAAGCATGGGATATTCGCAGCACGCGCGAGCCCTCGGGTGCATAATGGAGCAGAGCTTCAGTCTTGAGCTCGTCCTCATTGCCAGCTTGTGCATGCGGGTGCCCATCTCCATCGTACTCGACGAACAGAGCTGCGCCGTCGTTCTGCAGGACGCCGAAGGCAGCAATGCCCGGGCTGAGCCATTCTGGCTCCTGCGAGTGCCCTGCAGGGAAGTCCAGAAAAAGCTTGCTGACGGGCATCTGCGGCATCAGCAGCTCCGCCAGACAGGACAACAGCTCCACCTCTGCGTGGCTTCGGTGCATTTTCCTCGGACGGCCCTTCCTCCACCAGGGCGGGCCGCAAGCCGAGAGCCCAAGCGTAAGCGATCCCAGGATGCAGTAGCTGGTTCCAAGCCGCCATGAACTCCTACACCTTCCCTTCGGGCACCTCCTCTCCACCCGTTCCATCCTAGGCTCTGCATAGCTGCGAAGTCACGAAGTGGCGGGATAAGCCTGACATGGATTTTCCTGTTGGCGAAGCAGATTTCTCAACCGCCTGTCTATTGCCTCACTCGCCAAACTGACAAAATCTCTCAACATGTGCAGCTCACGGATTTCGGACGTGTTTACTTGCTGGAATAGCGGGTGCGTTGTCCCTACACATTGGGCCAGGGTGAGCGGAAGGCAACTGGGACCTACGGTGTGGGACCCCGAAACCTTCAGCCGGATGAGACCCGTGAAGTGAATTGGCAACCGCTTGGGTCACATATCTGCAGGATAAGAGTGTACACAACCACACCTCCATCACAGCCCTCACATTTCGGATTGTGCAGAACCGGCGTTCTTGGAGGAAAACTTGCCGAGGCCAACATGAACTGCAAAAATCTTGGTGCCTTCTTGCGATGTGCTGAACAACTCAGCTATGACCAAGCTCGCATGGAAAAAGCCTTCCCGGCAAGGAGTCGACCAACCCAGGCAAGCTAAAGGCTCCCAACCGCAGGCTAAAGGACGGCCTAGGAGCTGTCGCCGCCGCTCTCGCAGAGGCGGAGGCGGCCCCGGAGCTGGAGCCTGGCAAGGAAGTAGGGAGCAGGGTTTTGGGTTTAGAGTTTAGGGCTTTAGGGTTTAGGGGTTAGGGTTTAGGGTTTTAGGGTTTGGGGTTTAGGGTTCAAGGCTTTAGGCTTTAGGGTTTAGGGTTTAGGGCTTAGGGTTTAGGGTTGAGAGTTTAGGGTTGAGGGTTTAGGGTTTAGGGCTTAGGGTTTAGGGTTTCGGGTTTAGGGTTTCGAGAAGGATCTGAAAAGTTGATCCTTTTATCTGTGCTATACTCAGTGATACTTCAGAGGACCCCCTGAGATTATCTACTTTTTTTGATCCTCCGAAGGGGTCTGGGGAAGAAGAAGCACCACGATGCTGCACTGCTACAAGCCGACTTCAGAATGACCAGAAGCCTTCGACAAGTGATGGGTTCAGCATTTGGAGTTCTCTTCGATCGCGGGGGCAGGGAGACCTTCTATTCCGGTAGAGCACTCGGGTTTTGCAGTTTTAGTTCGACACGTGACTGTTGGACCTAGACGCCTCGAGTGCCCCTGCTGTGGGTTTCCGATGGCGGAAATCGCTGGTCAAACTTCGCATCGGTCAAGGATATTACGCTGGCAAGCTTGGATAAGCAATCGTGCTCCTGCAGGATCTTCAGGCGATGAGACAGGCGAGCGTAGCTGTAGCCCAGAATTTGAGGCTGACGCTCAATCATGGATGCGACGTCTCTTCGGGAAAAGAGCTTTTGCAACAGACAGCGTTTTGGCGACAGGTTACTCTCGATGCTGTAGCCAAAAACTGCCGGAAAGCCAGCAATGACTCTGACCACCTGCTTGCCGTTCAGCCCAGTAGCCTTAAGCCAGGCCGCTTTGCTTTTCAGATTGCCCTCGATGCTGTAGCCCAATGTATGAGGTTTTGCTGCAAGTACTTTTCCTATCTGCACTCGGCTGAGCCCGACATCTTCAAGCCAATCTGCTGTGGGCTTTAGCTTGCCTTCGATGCTGCAGCCCAGGATTGAAGGAGAGACAGAAATTGCTTTAGCCACCTGTTGCCGGCTAAGCCCAATATCCTCGAGCCAGGCCACCGTGGGCTCCAGGTTGGACTCGATGCTCAAACCTAGGACCTGTGGAAACTGAGCGACGACGCGGGCCACAGGCAGCCGACTCAGACCAACACTCCCGAGCCAATCCACCGTGGCCTTCAGATTAGACGCGACGCTGTAGCCCAGGACCATAGGAAAAACTCGCACGACTTTGACCACCTGCTCTCTATTCAACCCCAAATCCTCAAGCCAGGCCATGGTGGGCTTCAGATTCCGCTCGATGCTTATGCCCAAGACTGCAGGAAAGCCAGTGACGACTTTGGCCACCTGCTTGCGGCTCAGCCCAAGATCCTCGAGCCAGGCGACTTTGGGCTTCAGATTGGCCTCGAGGCTGTAGCTGAACACCGAAGGTAAACTAATGACAACCTTGGCCACTTGTTGGTGACTCAGCCCAACATCCTTGAGCCAAGCCACTGTGGGCTTGAGATTGGCCTCGATGCTATAGCCCAGCACCGGAGGATGTCCCGACACGACTTTTGCAACCTGCGTTCCACTCAGCCCCACATCCTCAAGCCAGGCCACCGTGGGTTTCAGATTGGCCTCGACGCTGTACCCCAATGCTGAGGGGAAGGTAGCGACCACATTGGCTACTTGCAGCTTGGTCAGTCCTAGATGTTCAAGCCAAGCCACCGTGGGCTTCATGTTGGTTTCAATGCTGTAGCCCAAAGTTGTGGGAGAAGCAAAGATGCCCTTGGCCACCTGCTTTCGGTTGAGGCCGATATCCCGAAGCCATGAAACAGTCGGCTTGAGATTGCCCTCAATGCTATAGCCCAAAACTTGCGGAAAAACGGCAACAACTTTTGCAACTTGCCGTCGGCTCAGCCCAACATCCTCAAGCCAGGCCACCGTAGGCTTCAGATTGGCCTCGATGCTGAGACCCAACATCTGAGGAAAGCCGGCAACGACTTTGGCCACCTGTTTCCGGTTCAGCCCAACATCCTCGAGCCATGCCACTGTGGGTTTCAGATGGCCGTCAATGCTGAGACCCATCATTTGAGGCTTCCGACAAACGACTTGGGCGACCTGCTGGCCGCTCAGCCCAACATCCTCGAGCCAGGCCACGGTGGGCTTCAACTTAGCCTCGATACTGCAGCCCAACATTTGAGGACATCCAGCAACGACTTTGGCCACCTGCTGTCGGCTCAGCCCGACATCCTCGAGCCAGACCACTGTGGGCTTCAAATTGCCGTCGATGCTGTAGCTCAACGCTTGAGGAAAGCCCGCAACAACTTTGGCCACCTGTCGTCGGCTTAGCCCAACATCTTCAAGCCAAGCCACTGCGGGTTTTAGTTTCGCCTCAATGCTGCTGTCCAAGATTGAAGGAGACAGACAAATGGCTTTGGCCATCTGCTTTCGGGTCAGTCCGAGTTCCTGAAGCCACGCCACCATCGGCTTCAACTTACCCTCGACGCTGATGCGCCAGATTCGGGGAAACTTGTCTGCCAAAGCCTTGAATCGGGAATTTGAGAAACGAAGATCCCCTTCCAAAAAGCCAAGTACAGCGGCCTTCTTTGTCGCCTTGCTAACAAACTTGCGTGCCTTGTTGAATCTGGGTTTCGGCTCGGTGACCTCAAAGGCATCTAGACGCAGGCGAACATCTTCTCGAAGCACGATGTCGCGACTACTCAGCATGGCCCAGACGGTCTGGCTCACAGCTTTCATCAGCGACGGCTCATGGCCCTGGCGCCACACATTCACGATCACATCCACCGAAGTCTCGATCCTCGACAGGTCACGCTCTTTGTGGCCTATTCGCAGCAGGCATGAGCCCTTGGGCGCGTACTTGAGCAGAGCTTGCGTATTGAGCTCCTCCCAATTGCCGGTTCCATCGTACTCGACGAACAGAGCTGCACCCTCCTCCTCCAGCACGCCAAACACGGCAATGCCAGGGCTGAGCCAGAGTGGCCCCACAGGAAAGTCCCGAAACAGCCGGCTGATGGGTTGCTGTGGCATCAACAGCTCTGCCAGACGGGACAACAGCTCCACCTCGGGATAGCTGCGGTGCATTTTCCGCGGCCGGCCCTTCCTCCACCAGGGCGGCCCGCAAGCCGCCAGGCCCAGCACGAAACAGACCAGGAGCCAGCAGGCTCCGAGGCGGAGAACCCTCCACCGGCCCTTTCTCCACCACAGCGGCCCGCAAGGAGGATTGAAAAGTTGGCTCCCAAACACCTCCATGGCCTCCAGAGCACATCATCTCCAGGGAGGAAGAGTTGTAGCTTGGCGCGGGTAGGCTATGTCGGAAAGCACCACGGCAATTCCAACCAGATAGATACGATGCAAAACCGAAAACTGGACGAATGTCTTGACTTTGGACCCTCAGACTGGACAACGTGCGATCGTGATGCAAATCCACGCAGACCCTTGCGCCTCTGAGAAACTGAGCTTGCAGATGCAGTTCAGCTTACTGGGCGGTTCACACTCGCTGAGGGGGCTGCCCGAACTGACAATCATGTACCTTGATAAGCTGTTCCAGGTCCCCGCGTCTAGAAAGCCCTCGATCATCGATGACCGCAAATACTTTTACTGACTCTCCTTGCGGAGTCTGGGAAGATCTGGGACGTATATCCGTAGGGTTGCAGGGTGATATGAAATAGACAATGCCCATCTTCACAGGGGTAGTTTTCTAAATTAGGGTCCCCGTTGGGATCCTTTTATACGGGTGCCGTATTATATTGGGGACCTAAAAAGAGACCCNNGACCCTATTTTGGAGAACTACCCACAAACAGAACGCATAAGCAGCTGAGAGGTTGAGAGGGGAACTGCTGGGGTATCTTGCCTGACCAACGGCTACTTTGCAACTCCACATGATGACTGGCATTGCCTGTGACAAAGGTAGTCACGAAACCCTATAAACCCTAAGGCCGAAGGAAAAGTCTGAGATACAGGTGTGAGAGAGAACAGCCCCCTGATACAGTGCTAGCTTAGGGCCCCTGTACCCCATGACCACCCTAAATCCTGAACCGCTAGATCCCCTAAACCCGGCGGGAACTCAGAGAGCCGACCCTACCACGCCTCCACCGGAGACATGTCGGCAGGAAGGGCGGCTCGAGAAAAAATATACATGCTGCGATTTTGGGTAGGCTTTAGGCCTTGGGTTCTGCTTGTGGTGGCTGTGGCTTTTGTAACTTGCGCCCTAGGAGGCTTGAGGTAGCAGACTCTTCCTAAACCCTAAACCCTAAA